GAGTTGCGTACGAAGTGGACGAGGGACGCGCCAATACGACAGTTTACTTAGCACAGCTATTTACATAGATGCTCATTTTTTGTTGCTTTTCAGGCTTTACTACGGAAATATGCCACACTTTGAATGATCATTCCGAGTTGTTCACATCTCCTCATTTTTTCTAGAGTACTAAGGTACAAATACGGAATAATGATACAAAACGTAAACGAGTTTATCAAAATGAAGGCTCCAAAGCCCTTGAAGGTTTGGGATTGAATAGTGACATTTTTTGGTGAATCCAACTAGTAAGACGCTGCAAACTTTACTTAACTACATGTTTTAACAAAAAGAAGAGAAAGAACTCTGCGGGTTGCTATTACGGTGTAGGACAAGAGGATTTCCCATATCAATACGGGGAATTCAACCAAACGCTTATTTCCATATAGCCAAAAAAGCTTATTCTGCCTAGCTTTTCAGTCGAGAATATCAAAACCCTTCCTTCAGAGGTGAAAGTCCGCGAAATAGCGAAACAGGAAGCAAACCTCCCTTTCTGCCACAAAGTTGCATTTGCCGAATTCTTGCATGAATGTGTACAATCCATAAATGGATTGCATGTAGTAAGAATTCAACTTCAGCCCGTCTTAGACCTTCAAACATAAAGAAATAAGGGGAGAGCAGGAATTAGCAGCTACTTGTGTGGGTTAGATGAAAGCCGATACGATCGAGGAATAACGGCAGCTCATACCGAGATGCGCGAGCGCACGCTGACGTCGCGCTCCACGGCGAAGACTTGGACAGATTCTGGAAAATAGAATTTTAATTTTTGGTAGTATGGGTAGGAAGAATTTGGTTAAATTTTATTATAGCCTGTCGTGTTCAATTTGAGTCTTGTGAATGCTTCTTTGGAACTCCTCTGCAACTATGCAGATCCCATGCGTTTTTCTCCCGACCTTTTCACTTCTATAATTAGGTGTGAGGAATTTGTTAATTTGGCGGCTTATTGAAAAAATAATCAGCAATGTAAGGTGTTTGTTTATTTGGCTAAAGGTTGAAAATCGTAAACGTGTGACAGTTTTTGAATCGCCTCTCGATGTATGTTTGTAAGCCCGTTTTCTTTATTCAGTACTGTGTTATCTCTTTATGCATACTAGGTTTTCCTAGAAGGTCCCTCCTTCCTCTCCCTCCCCTCCCCCCCTTTCTTCTCTCTCTATTTTTAAAATTGTTTAGATAAATGTCGACTTTAACTCCTGCCGAACAGGAAGAACAGAAGAAAATAGTTGAGACCTTTCAGCGGTTGCGTGAACAGCAGCAAGAAATTGCACAAGAAATCACTCGAATTGAAGAGGAAAAAAGGGAATTCGGGTGAGTCTTTAGAGAATTATTTTTGTTTTTGATTTTTGGTAAATCTGTTGCTGATTTCTGCAATTATTATAGACGTGTAATCGAACTTCTGAAGGAATTAGATGGAGAACAAAAGTGCTTCCGACTTATTAGTGATACTCTTGTTGAATATACGGTGACCGATGTAATACCCGTTTTGGAGAAGAATCTTGCTAATGTAAGTAGTGTTTTTCTATAGATCGTGGATCACTTCCATCATGCATTTACTATCCATATGCTGCTTTTATCTTGAAATTTTACTAAATACGGATAACAAATACCATCAGATCTCCATACTCTCTATTCGAGCATGTAGTTACATTGAGAAATTGATCTTCCTGAAATGACGAAAACTTTTTTCTATATTATTTTGCAATGGTTAAGCTACAAAAATCTCCTTAAGTTGGGTTCAGGAACTAAGATCCCGTGTTTAGACTCTAGCTCACTTCCTGATTGTTAAACGTTTCGATTTTTTTTGACCCCATCTTTTCTACTGTAATAAAGGTGGTTTTACCCTTCGGAAAAGAACAAACAACCTCTAGATTCCGCGCATAAAAGCATTCCCCGTTTCTCTATAAAATTGCCAAAACAATTTTGTGGAACAGAAAGTCTCTCTAACTTCTAAACAGCCATGTTCGCT